GCTGTTTGATCTGGCCCCTGATAACCTTTTGGACCTCCTCTGGGACTGGTCTCCCTAGCTTGCTGTTTTCACTTCCTCAAATAAGCTGAGCCCCTTCCTTGTCCTTCGATGATGTCCTTCCTTGTGTCTGAAACCCTCTTTCACATGTTGGACTCCTGCGTGGGAGCCTCATCTTCCTGAGGGTTACTGGGAGGCATTTCAAGACCACCCTGTTGAAGGCGGAAGCCCAATCATTCTTAAACCTTGGCATCCTGTTTTTCCTTCCCATTGTCTTCTTTTTTGCTGAGGTATAATATGCATACAATAAAGTGCCTTAAGCACAGTAATTGCAAGTGTACAGTTCAATGACTTTTATATACGCATATGTATGTGCACATTCCTCTCATAGCACCAGCTCCTTCTCAGCACTCATATGGTTATTGTTACTTATCTGATTTGCAAAGAGAGAGGATTTGATAACACACCATTATGGAAGAATCACAGGGAAATAGATACCGACTGCTGGCTGGGTGTACAAACCCTTACAACCCCTTTGGAGGGCAATTTCACAGCATCTATTAAATTTAAAAATGCATGTATCCATTGAGACATCAATTCCTCTTTCAGAAATTGATCCGACAGATGCACTCTTACATATGTGTGAAGGTAAGTGTACAAGACTCGCGTTACGGCACTGTTTACGGAGAGGAGATGTTGGGAAAGCCCCAAGCGTTGCTGCACAGGGGGCAGGTTATAGAAATTAGAGTTTATTTTGCAGAACCATGTTATAGAAGCTGTAATCAAGATTGTGTACTGTTATGGGAAAATCTTCAGACGATATCAAATGGAAAAAGGCACAGGGTGATGCAGACGGAGTCCTCTCATTTGTGTAAAAGAAGGATATATTTAGCTGTCCATGCTGGCATAGAGACCTGGTTAATCCAAGAAGTTGGTTAGCGTTATTCTCTGGGGAGAAGAATTCAGGAACTGGTGTTTCGGGTGGGAGGGAGCTGTTTCCTATTTTATCTTTTTTAAATTGTTTGATTTTTTCCCCCCTCCTATGTATATGTAATACCTTTTTGAAAAATAAAATAAAAAAGTATTTTTTGAGAGACTCCAAGGGAAGTCTCCAAGGGAAGACATGTAAGGAGAGCAGGCTCCCACAGGCCAGGACAGAGATGCGAGGACAAGTTGGCCTGACTTGTTATTCAGAGGCATGGTGGGGACTGGCTGGCTTAGAACTTGGCTTTCAGGGGGGCTTTTCGGGGTGCTCCGGGAGACAGCAGCTGCCCCCAGCTGCAGCGGAAGCCAGTGGATATTCAGCTGGGGAATACAGTCAGGGGAACCCAGGCTCCCTCTTCCCCCCAAGTGCCTGCTGCATGGGGTGACTACACCTCCCTTTTCAGCAATTCACCCCACCTCTTGTCTCAGATGGAGGCAGTGTGAATGAGAGGATAACCAAGTAAATGTCTTTTTTCAGGTTCCAGAGACTTGTAGGTAGGCTTTTTTTTTCTTTTTAATAGAGAGAAGTTGTTAAAGCTTTAGAATCAAAACTTGCTCCAACAGGCAACCAGCTGTCCCTCTACGAGGCTCTCAATAATCTTAGTGCAGATCGTGGGTTTGGGAGCAAGCCAGAGATGGATTTGAGTCATAACACAACCATGTAGCAGCTTTGCATCCCCGGGCACGTCAGAGGGCCGCTCTGTGCCTCGGTTTCCTTGTTGGGAAACTAGGATCAGAAGTCCTGCCCAGGTAAGGAACAAGCCTGATAATGTCTGTCTGTCTGCTTGGTGAAAGGCGGACGGCTGTGTGGATGGGGGATTTCAATTTTAGAATGCACCCATGTCCTGGGGCTGCCATAACAAATCACTGTACGTTGGGTGGTTAACGCCAACAGAAATCTATTCTCTCACAGTTCTGGAGGCCAGAAGTCTGCAATCGAGGGGTGAGCAGAGCTGCACTCTCTCTGGGGGCTCTAGGAGAGTATCTTTGATCGTCTCATCCAGCTTCTGGGGGCTGCGCCATTCTTTGTGGCTGCATCCCTCCGATCTCTGCCTCCGTTCTGCAGTCCTCCTCTTCTCTCTGTGCTTTCCGTTCTTATAGGGATACTTGTCACTGGATTTAAAGCCTATTTGGATAATCCAAGATGATCTCATCTCAAGATCCTTAACTTAATTACATCTATACAGACCCCTTTTCCAAATAAGGTCGTATTCACTGATTCTGGGAAGGTAGGACAGGGGTAAGTTTTGAGGGAGGCCATCATTCAATCCATATAAGCAAAGAAAGTGGGCATGGAAGCCACCAGGTATGTGCCAGGATCCCACTGGACCTGTGTGCCAGTCTGTGGCTGGTTCATAGAGGGTGCCAGGTCAGGTTTCAGTGTCTGAACCACATTGCACGGTCACAATCGCAACCTAAAGATTGACGGCTGCTTGCGTCTGTGTTTCTCTCCTGACCTCTGTCTGCCTCCTATTCTGCCTCCCAGTTAAGCCAACAGCAACCTTTCTAGACGGGCCTGGGAGGAGATGTCCTGCAAATGCAAATATTGATTTAAAGCTTCACACCCATGTGAAAACTGAGTAAGGACTACAGCCTAGTCAACATGATTTTACTAATGTCAATTTTCTTGGTTTTGATATTGTATGAAAGTTAGACGATGTTACCATTGGGCGAAGCCGGGCTCAAGGAACTCCATGTGCTGTTACTATCACTATTATAACTTCTGGTATGTGCATAATCACTTCAAAATAAAAAGTTGAAAAAATAACCAAAACCTAAACAACTTCATAAATACTTGAAACCCCTGCCGGAAAAAAATCACCCCTATTAGAAGGTAGAAGAAGGTAAGCCCCTCAACCCCTCTGCCTGGCATGGACAGAATTCATCCTCCCTGGGCAGCCTGGGACCCCCATCCCCATGGGCTGTTGGAAAGTGACCTCACCTTGGCCTGGCCACATTCTCAACGCAGGCCTTCTGGAAGCCTATCGGGGTCAAGTTCTTCATTTGGAAGGGAGTCCTGCCAGGTCGTCCCCAAGCCTCCCCAGGCCAGGGCCCGTCTGGTTTGCAGACGCACGGCTGGGCTGTCCCAGCACCGCCCTGCCCCATGGCTCAGGCTGAGCCCTCTGCTGCTGCCACTTGCACACGGCTCTGGCTCCCGGCAGGCCTCTCCCCTGTGATTTCCTGGCAGGAATTGCGGCCTCAGTGACCCCCACCCTGAGTCAGATGCTCTGGGCTTTTGGGAGGTGCTCCTCTGGCTTGGGGCCAGCTTGTCCTACCCTGACTCTAGCCTCCTCCTCCTCCTCTTCGTGGGGCAGGGTGCTCCCTGCCTGCCTTCCTCCCCTGGCCAACTCCAGCTTCTACGAGTCTGGGCAAGTTGGAGGTGCCTTCCCTGGGCCACTGTTCTGGTTCTTTCTGTCCTTCCTCCTTACCCCCATGGAGGCTGTCAGTGAGTTAGTTCTATACACTGTAGCCTGGTGGTTTGCTGTCCCAGGGGTTATAAACTTGGGGTCCGTGGATGGACTTTGGGGACTCTGGAAACCCCCTGAACTGTGTAAAAAATGTCTGAACATTTTTCTGGGAGAGAAATTAATTCTCAGAAGGGTCCAAGACCCACAAACAATTAAGAGTCCCTAAAAAAGGAGCTGTAACATAACTGTTAGACATTTTGTTTCTGGCATCATCCTGCCTGGGCTACCATACTATTTCTCTCGAGCTAGCTCATCTGCCTGCCTCAGTTTCCTCCCATGTAAAATAAATGAAAGGATAGCGTCTCCTGGATGTTGTGAGGAGTAAATGAGAAAATCACATCAAGTGCTTGGCACACCCCCAGGAAGAACCCAATAAAGATTATCTGTTATTATTATTATTATCTACCTTGAGCATATATGATTCACTTCATGCTTACAACAGAAGCCCCATGGGGATTCTTAACCTCCTTTGGAAGACTTCGTTTGCCCAATGTCACATGGACATTAAAAGGCAGAACTGGGATTTGCACCCACAGCCTCTTTCCTTTCTGCTACGCTTTGTTGTCGGTCTTTGCAAAGAGAAGGAGAAGAGGAAATAGGCGACAGGGCAAGAGAAGTGTCTAATATTTAAAACCCCTCTATGTATCGTATTTGGAAAGTCTGTTTTGTTCTGCCGTCTGAGGTGGTTGGGAAAGGACTGTGCTTGCTCATGGCGATTCGACTGGAACAAAATCTTGGAATGGCTGGGCTTCCGAGGAAGGATCAGGTTCCGTACTGGAAGCTCTGTCGCCTTTGTAGAAGCTATTTCTCCTTTACTTAAGGTCCCCCTGGTCATCTGTCCAAACCCATCGCATGTGTCACCTGCCTTGGGGACCCTGTCTCGGACCTTGTAGGTGTTTGCTGTCTGTCAGCATTTTACATGCCTTTATCTTGCCTTTAGGACACTGCATTGAAATTTCTTTATCTCCCATTCTTGTCTCTTCAGCTGGGAATGGCCGGTGTCTAACGTATCTTTTTGCCCCTGTGCTCAGCCTGGTGCCTGGACTAGAATTAATGTGTGATGAGTGGGCTCCCCTCTCTCCATTCCTTACTCCCCCATCATTTCCTGCAATGAACAATCAATGTCCTCAAGACACTCAAAGCCAGAGACAGGGAAAGGCCCGTGCCCTGTGACAATCTGCGTTTCCATTGGGCTGTCTTTTAAAGCCCAGAGTCCCCAAGGGCAAAGGAAAGAGTCAAAAGCACCCAGTAGTCAATGAAGTTGTTTTCTGTAGCTACCTATTTGGCATTAGAAATGAATGAACTAAGGTGCAGCCCTGTGTGAGAGCTGGGTAACTGGTTATTGCTCTTGAGGCAATCTGGGTGCAGGAAGGAGTGGTCTTAACATTCCAGGACCTGCCTGATGTCTGGGAGCCACACTGCCCAGCATGCAGGCACTGGCCTCCACTAAGGCCCCTTAGGTCTGAGGTCTTCCTTCTCTAAGAGACTCAGAATTGCCAGGCTGGGCCTGGTCAACTCCTAGCCCTTCCAAAAGTGAAGGAAGGTGCTTATTTGAAAGATGGAAAGATGACATTCCAGATGGTTCCAAAGTAGCTGAGAGTGGTCTTAGAACTCTGTATTCCAGGCCCTAACATTCAGGCAGGACCTTCCCTAGGGGTGTGCATGGAAATGCTCATCAGTAGTGGAATCTAGAAAAGGTCTTTTGACTGCGAAGGGTAAGGTAGTTCCATATTCAGTGTTGTTTCCTAACTAACTAAAGTCTGTACCTGAAGGCCCATGCCCAAACCTGCACCCAGGACTTTCCCCCAGCCCCATTACCAAAGTCTGGCTCATCTCAGAAAATGGTGGCACTATCTACCCAGAAACCTGGAAGCCAATCTTACCCTGCCTTTCTCTCATCACCCCAAGTCAAATCCATCTCCAAGTTCTGTCCATTTTACCTGTACAGTAACTCTTAAAACCATCCTCTTCCCTCTGTCCCTATGGCCACCACTTGAGTCTCTCACCATCTTTCCTCACAAAACCACTTTCATAGCCCCCCCCGACTGACTTCTCTCATCAATCCCATCTCTTTATACTTTCCAGACATTAATGACCCAAAAACTGGAGTAATCTTTAAAAAGATGCAAATCTGGTCAAGTTACCCTTGTGGTTAAAAATCTTCTAATGTTCTTGAATAATATACCTAAGATGTGTGACTACATGTCATGGAAATGTTCCTTGAAAAACTGTGTACAAATATTGACCTCTAATGAATGACATGCCTGCTGCAATGTTTGGGTAAAGTGCACTGATGACTGCCACTTTACCATGAAGTTCATCAAAAAAGAAGATGGGTGGATGGATGGAAAGATAGATGGCTTGATGGATAACAACTTATAAATCAAATATGGCAAAATGCTAATTTTAGAAACTACATACTGGATATTTGGGCATTTGTCGTGAGACTCTCTTTTCAACCTTTTTTCTATAAAAAACTTCATAATAAAATGTTGGAAAATCTTTCTGTAATAGCTCACAGTTCTGTCAGGATTAAATCCAGGATTAAATCCAGGGGGGTCCACAAGACCCTCCCTGATCTCCTTGCCTTCCTCTATGGATGTCTCTCATGCCAATCTGTCTCTGTCACTTCTTGTGCTCCAGATACAGGGCTTTTCTTTTGGTTTTAAAATGTAACATTCCCTCTTGTTTTAGAATGTCCATAGCTCTAATCACAATTTTAATACAGTCGATTGTGTAATTGGAGGTGGAACTATATGAAATGCCATTTCTATAGGTGAGATAGTCAAATTTGTGAGCAATTTTATATGACTCCAACAAATGATTGTTTGATGACCATCTACCCTTAGACTCTAAGCTCTGGGAAGTATAGAGTCTAGCACAATATCTGGCCAATGGTACATACTCAACATTTTCTTTTGGGAATTAATTAAGTTGATTAATTAATTGATGGGCAGTCAGCCACCTCTATTTTCACCATCTAATTCCTTGACTGTACATATTCTAAAACGTTGAGATTTGTGTAAGCATGTAGAATTTCTCACCTTTTTCTGACTTACCCAATTCTTTGTTATACAAGGGAAGTAAAGAATCCTATCCCCCCAAATCTAGATATTTCAACAAAGCATCTTGCCTGTCTCAATTCTTTAGCCAACAAGGTCTAAGCTCTAGTTTTTGTTTTCACAAGCATGGGCAGAGTGGAGCATTGATGTCCATCAGGATTCAGGCAATTCTCAGGGTACCTGCCACCACCAAGACAGGGAGATGAGTTTTTGATTGAAT